GAAGGAAGGAAAAGAGGCAGGGAGATACGGAATAAGGAAGGAAGGAAGGGAAAAAATGAAGGGGGGAGGAAGGAAAAGGAGGCAGGGAGAGGAAGGAAGGGCACAAGCAAATAGAAGGAAAAAACAAGAGGAAAGAAAAAAAATAGGAGAGGAAGAAAGGTAAAGGAGGAAGGGAGAGAGAGGGAGGAAGGGAACAAGCAAGCAAGGAAGAAGAAGAGGCAGGAAGGGAAAGAAGGAAGGAAGGAACAAGTGGAGAAGAGAGGGGGCAGAGGAAAAAAAGGAAGGAAAGAAAAAGAAAAGAGAACAGATGTTTGGCTCTCTTTCTCTACCCCCCCCCGCCCCCCCCAGATGCTGGGTGCTGGGCCCCGCGGGCGACCAGGCCGTGGTCTTCTTTGTGGACTTCGGCCGCTGCACCAGCGTCCCCTTGAACTCGCTGCGGAAGCTGGACGGGGAGGAATTCTGGGAAATCCGCCCGTTGGCTCAGCCCTTCGTGCTGGAGGAAGGTAAGCTGGCTGGCTGGGGGATTCTGGGAGTTGGAGTCCACGTTCTTCAAGCCTGCTAGCTTGGGGCAACGATGGGAATCCGGAAGCCATCTTTAAAGCAGGCCAGCCGAGGGGGATTCTGGGAGCTGAAGTCCAAACCCTCTTGGATGTTGCTCTGATCGGGGAAAACGCTGCTTTGGATGCTTGAATTCGGTTTATGAGCAGCTTTGAAGAAGCCGGTTTGGGGAAATCCATTTAAAGAGGATTTTTTTTTTCTTCTCCCCCCTGGGTTTTGTAGGAGTTTTTCCCCCACAAGACATTCGAAGGCAAATCCTGGTAGGGAAACTGAAAGGACCTTCTCAATGGGAGGTAAGCGGAGAAAATACTCGCCCCATAAACCAGGATTGCAGGTTATCAAGTTTTCACACTACAAATCCTGGCTTGTTTTAAAGAAGCGAACTGGGACAGCATTGGGGAGGGGGGAGGAGGAGGAGGAGGGGGAAAATCTGGTCACAGCCAGCAGAGTTTGACCTCAAATATAAGCTTCCTTCTGGAATCCTGGTTTGTTGATCTCACAGGTGGTTCGTTCAGAGTTGTGGGTCCAAAATAATAATAATAATAAAAAAGGTGCCATTTCATAGCCAGCCTTGGGGTTTTTTGCTTGAATCAAAAGAGTTTTGCAAATTTTGGCAGCGATTCAGAGAGACAAAACCAGCCTTTCCTGGACTTGCAAAAACAACAATTGGCCGATGGTGAAATTGTTTTGTGCGTCTACCAGTGTGAAAGGGCTGGGGCTGTTCTCTCCGTCAAACTCCCAAAGAAAGCTGCAAAAACCTAAAATAATTGCCCTGTGCAAATAAATACAATCCTGCAATCAAATTATTATTATTATTTCCCTCTCTTAAGGACCAGCAGCTTAAAATAAAGTCAAAAGTCACTGCCCCAAAACACACATATTCCAAATTCAGCGGAATTTTCGTCCCCGTGTTAATTATATATTTATGAAATATTAGCTGGGTCGGCACGACACTCAGCCAGATGCAAACCAGCCGCACAACGGTGCAACACACAACATGTAAACAATTTAACACTTTTTTTAAAAAAAACTTGTTTTACAGCCGCACATTTTAAAGTTTGTTGCCAAAACAGGCTAAGAAGTTGTGGAGTTGTGAAGTCCGCCCATTCCCTGCAATCTTGAAGTACATTGAATTTTCTTCGTTGGGAAAAAGTTGCGGTTTCATCGTTCCGAAAAATAAGTGTTTTGTTTTCTAAGTGAGGCCATTTTTTTTTAAAAAAAAGTTGGCTTAAAAATTGGTGGAGGGAGGGGATATATTAATTTGGTTGCTTCATTGAGGCCTTAAAACTTTTGTGTTGAAAAGTGGGAGAAAATGTTATTTTTCCCACGGCATTTTGTCTTGGGATAGCTGGAATCGTGCGGGATGTGTAAGTAAAACGCGGGGGAGAAATTAAATACATAAATCTGTATTTTGGCTGTTCTGTTGCAACCTTGTTCTCTTAAGTTTGTTATTGCAGTTAATTGATTAAAAGGCTAACTGGATTCAGAAATTGGTGTTTCTTTTCCTTCCATTATAAAAATACACTTTTCAGCCAACGCCAGCAGACGCGATCAGATTAAATTAAAACAGAAATAAAGCTGCTGGGGTGTGGGTTTTTTTTTTTTTGGTTATCATTTTTGCTTTTCTCTCCTTGGGCAAAGGGGGATTATTTTAGGAGTCTCTGCTCTTGGGGGGAAAAAAATTGAGTGTATTTTTTACTCTGCTCCGAGGCCAGATTATTATTTTTTTAAAATTCTGAAAGATGCCTTTCCTATTAAGATTGTTTTGAATCTTATTTAAAAAAAATTGCCCTCGTCTGAACAGACTTCAAATCTGGAATAGGTGTGAAAATGCAGAACGCTAGAGAAGAACCAATAAATCTTACATCGGAGTCTCTGGAAATAGCTAGAATTTGGGGGAGAGGTGTTGAATTTCTAGTCCTCAAGAGGGCAAGATCAACCTCAACTCTGGGGAAGTAGCGAAGGGGCTTATGGTCTTATTTTCCTTTTTTAAATTAAATTTTATCCGGCATACACTCCCGAGCGACGGTGATTTTCATACACACGATGAAAGGTTCAACAAAATTGGATCCTTTTTTTTTTAAAGAAAATGAATTAGATCTGGAGAGATTTTCCCCAGATCTTCCCTGCTTGGGGGCTGCTGCAAATTAATGTGGCTTTTTTTCCTCTCTCTCTCTTTTTGCTAGCATTTAATCTGCTTTTTTTAAGGGCTTCAACATCTTTTCCAAGCATTTCTGGCTGTGAAAATGCAATTACACCTTCTTGCGCGGATGGTTGAAACAGACCGGTACCCGTGCCTGGTTTTTTGGGGCGGGGAAAAGAGATTTTCTAGCACCCACCGGATTCTCTCTTCATCTCCTTTTCTGCAGCCGCTCTTCAGATGGCTGGACTGGGGATCTGAAGCGAGGAATCTTAATCAACCTGGTGCAATTTCGACCCGATTTCGCTTTTCAATTTTTTATCGCTGAGAATTTGAACTTCCGTTTATCTTGAGGGCGTGCAAACATTCCTCACTTAACGACCGGCTGTTTCCACAACGGTTCCACGTTACAACAACAACAAAAAAACCCTCCCAAAAGTTACTTATTAAACCCGTCCTTGAAGTTACGACGGTCTGGTCACAATTGCATTTTACAACCAGTTGCGACATTCCACTCAAGCGGCCGGTTAAGTTTTGCCAATTTTAACACTCACTCAGGATAAATCGATCCGCTTCACAACTGGGGGGGCTTGTTTAACAACTGCAAAGATTTACTGGTTTTTTAAAAAAGTTCCCAAATAATAAAACCGAAAAGTTAGGCCACATAATGAGGGCTCGCTCTCCAAAATTCCTATATTCCCTTGGGGGTCATTAAGTGAGGACTTGAAGGGACAATAATTCTACTTTTGGCAAGATGTAGGGTCTCCCTCTTGGGCAGGGGGTTGGACTAGATGACCTATAAGGTCCCTTCCAACTCTGATGATCTGTTAAGAGTTAACGCAGAGCTGAAATTGGAAGCTTGTTTTTTGGGCTATTTTTCCTCTTTTTTTCCATTTTTTCCTCCTTTTGGCCAGGTAAGAAACCGGCCGGTTTTGGGAGCCAGAAGGAAGAAATTTTATCGCTCAGGTTAGTTTCGTTCAATCCCTTCCCTTCCCCGATCCTCGCCTCCCCCTTTTCTCCCGGACAGAGATACCGCCAGATTCCCCCTTGAAATTAACAAATGTAATTGTTCTCCAAAGATACATATTTTTTTTTTCCCCCATAAGACATCCATCATACACTGTAACCAAAAAAAAACAAAAAAAAAAACCCAAAACCAAAAGGGAAAAAAAAAAAAGGGAAGAAAAGGAAGGAAAGAAGGGGAGAAGAGGAAGAGGAGGAAGAGGAAGAGGAGGAGGAAGGGAGAAGCCGTGTACAGGAAAATAAGAAAATAAATTAAATCCAGCGTGGAAGGAAAAGAGGCCGTTGGTGTGCATGTGGGTGTGTGTGTTTGTGGGTGTGTGTTTGTGGGTGTGTTTTCAAGAACTGCAGCAGAAGAAGAAACCGGGAAGCTTCCGGCCAGAACGAGAGGAGAGGAATTTCCAAGGAGTTTTCATTTGAGGTGAGTGTGTGTGTGTGTGTGTGTGTGTGTGTGTGTTCTTTTTCCTCCATTCTTCTCCCCCCTCCATTTAATAAGACCGAGGAGGAGGGGGGCGAGCCGACCGCCGGCCAGCGAGGGTCCAAGTGGGAGGGGGGGGGAAGTCCCACCCCAGGGGCGATCGGAGCGGCTCTTCCGAAGGGCCGGCAAAACGGGGGCCGGGGGGGGGGGGGGGGGGGGGGGAAATGTCCTTCCACAGCATCCGGCGGGGGAGAGGGGGGGGGGAGAGGCGTCCGCGGGCGGGGATGGGTGGAGGGACGGGTGAGGACGATGGGATCCGGTTCCCTCGGGCGCCGCCGCGGCTAGCCGTCTTCCTTGGGGGGCGTGTACCAGCCTGGGGAGGGAGGGAGGGAGGGAGGGAGGGAGACAAAAAAAAAGTGAGTTTCCGGAAAGAGAAGCAGCGAGAATAGAATCACAGCGTTGGGAGGGGCACCTTGGAGGGCGTCTAGTCCAACCCCCCCCCCCACTGCTCAGGTGGGAGACCGTATAGCGTTTTGGACAA